ATCTTAACGCTTTTAAATGTATTCTCCTTCAGAGATATGAACCTATAACCCCTCGCGTCCAACTATGAACTACCAAGCCCCACATTGCAATTTTAACAAATCAAAACAAATTTCTGTTAAACCTCTGGAGACTCGAAAGTAAGGAAACACTAGTCAAGTCACACCTGCTAACTTCACAATTCGTTTCCACATTTCGTATTTTTGTATAGTTGTCCTAACTTGTAATGATACTGTCATATATAACAAAACAAAGAATTTTGATTTTATTGCTAACTAAGCACAAATACTCATTTACAAAATACCTCATAAATACCTTGATTGTCCAGTTGTTCACTGAGCTATCTGGGCACCATCAGGAACCCTCGCTGTGAAAAAGCCTAGTGATTGTACGCGCTCAATGAGAGCATCAAAGAAAATTTATGTATCATTTGTACAACCGCAAAATTTCGTTTTGGCGTACGAATGATTACTCAGATTACAGCGGAACTTGGTCAAAACGAGAAAGGTAGAACTTTGAGCACTGGAAATGGAAACTTACGCAACTTGACGCCAGTCTTATGAAAACGGAAACATCTCGGTACTTTCCACAAAGAGCTTCAAGAGGTTGTTTCACAAATGTCTAGCGGAAGATATCAAAGTTTTATTGGGCATTTCAGTAATTATTTGTGTGTACTTCTTCGCAAAAATAGAGTCTTTTGGGAAAGTTACGAAAAATACCGAAAAGAAAGTTGAAGATTGAATTGCGCTCTGGTTGCTCTATCTGATGCTAAACTTCTTTCAGAAGTGTTAATTACATAATTTTGAAAAAGTAAATTCGTGGCTTCGAAACCTCGGCATTTTAGCGACCAAGAACAACTAGTTTAGAAACATGTTTGCCGAAGAGGAAAAAAAGCTTCAAAGGTGTGTTCCCATTTGTACAGCTGTTTTTGAGATAGGTAAAAAGGTTTCGAACGACTTAAGAGTTAATTTTGCATCTTGTATGCGCTAATTGAACTAAATCTTCATCTGTCAAAATAAACTATATACGTCTTTGATGCATTAGTAAGTGTGAATGATTTTAACTGAGCATGAGGCAAGCTGTGGATCACAAAATCGTACGAAGAGAAGATACTGTACAAATCTGAACCGTAAATTGCAATGACAAGAAATGCGGTCTTGATCAGAAAAAGAAAGAAATTTTCTTTGGATCATATGCAGGCACGACGACAACATGAAAATTAGTGTGATTGTATTGGCGGAGCATTCTTCACTAGAGATCCATAGTCAACTAGATTTCCACTTTTGCTTGCTCGGTAGTCCACCTTGGAGCCGTACTTGGTATAGAATGTCACTTGACACTTTGTTTTCCTTCCAGTTCTCTGCAAAATGGAGCATTTGCTTAGCAAAATCGTGAGCCATTTGCTTTTTACCTCATCAAATGCGTTACAAGTTTCATAGGCTGGTATATACAAATGCATGGAGACGGCGGAGTCAGAGTGGCTGGGATTTTCCATCCGATGAAGGCCCAGTTTATCTGGAAAACACTTCCTCAGAATATTTCATGCGGTGTTTTAATTAACATCAGCCACAGTTAGAGAGAATCTGCAATACCCATACTATGATATATGACTTTGAACTTCTCAGTAGGATTGACGTTTCAACGAACTAAGGGTGATTTCGTTGAAAACCTCGCAGAAACTTAAGACAATACAACTGCAACGGAATTGTAAGAAAAAAGGAATTACTCGATGTGGGAAATTGCAGCAAGCCGAATCAAATAAAGGGTCAGTGCTCTAGGGTATTCCAATTGAAAGGGATTTTTCTTACAAAAGAAACGAGATTGTGCGCTTTATTACCTTCACCTCTAAAGTGCTATTGTAATTGCAATCGATTACCATTCATGTAAGATACTCCATTCCTTTCATAGCGATTCTCACTGATTTTTCTCAGGGGAGCTTCCTTATCTTCTTCGTCGGGCCAATCATATCTCGTCTCCAAAAGTGTTCCATCCAGCATTTTCACAAAACAGTGCGAATCCGTATGGTCATGGATGCTAAAAATTGTCATATAAACTATAAATCGAGATGGTAGCGTTGATTTTTCACCTGCTTCCCATACCGGGTCCCCAGCACAAGAGCATCAGGTTGTATTTGCCATTACCAACGTCCACAAGATTTCGGGTATATCTGAACGTAGAGGCTACAACTAAAATACCTTCAAAACAAGGATGGACTTACTTGTGCTCATCAAAAGCGGCAAAACGCCTCCATTCGTCCTCATTGCTCTTGTACGACTCCATGGTCCTTATCACCTCATCGACGTCCACTTTGTCATCCTCAAAAATCTCTCGCAACTTGGCAATGAGCTCACTGAGAGTCACCATATCTGAACAATATCTTACTGAGCGTAGGTTAGAAACAGTACAATAGGCGCGATGGTGCTGTAATACAGTCGTACGGTAAAGAGTGAATGAAGTAGTCCAATGATTGTTGTGGGCAGAGGGCTGGTATGGGTGGTGGGTGGTGACGGTGTCGTCACGTGTGGGATGTGAACGTTCACGACATGACGCCGTTAGCGGATGTCGTTGAAAATTCGAAACTGTCACAGTGTATTACTTGGACCATCGTGGGTCATCCCAATGATAACGAGGACTCGTACGGGCCGATGATCGAGCTATTTTGGACGTCTCGCTAAGGTAGACTGTGGTGCAGATTGCTTTTCTCTGCTTATATGTCGTGGAAGGCTTGTTCGAGACAGACAAGCTGCATTGCTATCTCTGCCTTGAGGAGGGTTTTTCTGTGGATAAATAACAATAGTAAATGGAAGCGTGTGCAAAACTAGTTACGAAGACAACACTTTCTTAGTTTCGCGTTAACATCTGATGACTGGATATCAATCACCCTGATCAGGAAGAGCTAACCTTGAACTACGATCCAATTTTTGTTTGCATCTATACGGTGACTCATAAACGTCAGAAAGTCCTTATAATGTAGTAGCAGGATCTACATAGGATCTCTTGTATCTCAAAGTCGAACAAGGGCAAAAAAAAAGTAAAAGTCTAACAAGTCTAAGAAAATTTGTGTAAAGATAGTTAAAATCACCGATACTGATGTAGTTTACCGTTTGGCGCTACTGCTACTAATTAAAGCCCTACACAGGGTACTGTGTATTGGAATTGACCACTTCATATATACCAGATCAAAGAGCAAGAAAATTTTGTATTGTTTTGACCCTTCTCAGTACTGCGATTTATCCTTGCTAAAATAACTGACTTCATCCGGATTATCGTTTCGCAGATACGGAAAACAGAATCAAACTAGCACTCGAACGCGCAATTTCCAATATACACTTCGTCATGAATGGCCGCGGTAGCTAATTGTAAGTATCCCTCCCTTGCCAGGAGGATCATGTTCGAAGTTTCATCCGAATCTTAATAAGAACATTTGTCTAGTAAAAAACACGAGTGGGAGACTTAAGTTCAATTTTTGCTTCGTTATTTTAGCTATTTATAGAACTAGCTTTCTTTCCCGGTCCAGCCTGGTCCAATTGTTCACTGGGAGTAGTAGGCGCTGTTTTGGT